TATAGTGTCTAAGAGAACTGTAAATGTCTAGGAGTACTGTATAATATCTATGAGAAGTGTATAATATCTTAGAGAACTGTATAATGTCTAAGAGAATTGTGTATAGCATCTTAGAGAACTGAATAATGTCTAAGAGAACTGAATAAGGTCCAAGAGAACTATATGATATCTAATAGAACTGTATAATGTCTAAGAGAACTGTATCACGTGGATTTAACGGTTCTGTCAATATTTCAGAAAACTGTGACTTTCCATCACAATTTGACCCCTTTTACATAATTTTATAGCCTTTTATAAAAAATATTTTTTTTTGTTGGCATATACATCATGAACGAAAAAGTATAAAACAAACAAATCTGTAAGTCTAAAGACTGTTTAGTTATAGACGAAAACACGTTTGATTTAAAATAAATGAAACCGAATGCTTCTCTCTCTCGTTAGTACGGGGTGGTATAATATCTAAGAGAACTGTATAATGTCTGATAGAACTGTATAATGTCTAAGAGAACTGTATAATGTCTAAGAGAACTGTATAATGTCTAAGAAAACTATATAAAATCTAAGAAAACTGTATAATGTCTGTAACAAGACTAAATTATGTTGAAATGAATTTGAAAACTTTGATCTTAAGATTCATATTTTAAAAACTATTCACATAATATCTATATTTCTTCTGTAGAATCTAAAATTGGAAAAAAAATTCTTGGAAATTGGATTTTCTATATTTTTCCTATATCTAACATTCACATTCAAAAGTAACCTACAAACATTACTTAAATTCAACATACTACAGCGATAACCTGAAAACTTTGGAATAGGAAGTCGGCATTTAGACTCAATTTATGACTTTAAATGGTCCAATAAACGTGAGATACGGCAAATGTACTTGATATCATGTAGTTGTGGAAGACGATGCCTGGCCGCGTTAAACTAGTTCCACAAGATTCAACAGAATGAGATAGAACGGATACGGGGCATTAGTACTGATATGATCTCTACAGTCTACACGTGCGATATCGATATTGACTCTAGTTCTGAACCCTCTAGTAATAAGTTATAAGAAATATATATACTGGAAGTTATCTATACGTTTTATTAGAGTCTGACTCACGTCCTCTATATAGTCATCTTATTCTACACTTTTCTTGTTATCACTGATGGCTTACAGGGCGCTTCGCGCCCTTCTTTTAGGAACAGTTTTGACATTTGAATATTGCTTTTTCGATTTTTTTTTTATTTCCCAAAATACGAATTTGGGTCTAATGGGTTCAGCCTTTTAGACGTTATTGCTACAAACAGACAAGCAAACTAGTTGTAAATAAACACTGTTTTTTGAAGAACTATTCACAATTTGTTGTGTTTGTAAGAAATAATATTTTTTTTAAAATCAATAATAAATCAACAGTCCACGGAAGTGTTTACATCTTCTTTACAAGAAAAGTTTTAACTATAGATGGGCGTGTTCGACTTTTTCATTTCGTTTGTTCATCGTTCGTTAACAACCCATTTTGATAATTTTCTTAATCGTTCAAAAAATACTGATTTTTTGTGTTCTTAAAAAATATCGTTAATTTCCCATCTATTTTTTTCTGAACAACCTTTTAGTAAATTCGTTCGATTTTTTTACCGAACAACAGTCGACACCATTTTTCACGACAGTTTTGTTCGTTCCCAAAAATTTCGTTCATTCACCAAACTAATGCCCATATGTAGCTTTAACACGGTTTTTCTATTTCTAGGACAAAAGTTTTTCCAAATAAACAACAATGTGCCTGAAAAAACTTTCAAATTTACATTTTAGAGTGAATCAAAAGATTCGTGGGGATGGAAAAATAAACTACAGTGAAACCCTTAATAACGAATACATCGGCAGAATTTATCAAATGTCGTCTTGACAATTTTTCAATGAGTTTTATACTGTATTACATAAATTTTAGTATTTGCGAAAATGAATAAATAGCAATGAATATGCGGGAACAGTTTTAAAGAGTTCCATATAATTAAAAAAAAAAAATATCTGCAACATTCCATTAGCAGAAAGTGAAGAATACGACATTTGATGTATTCTTTCGATGTATTCGCTATTGAGGGTTTCACTGCATATGGTTGCTGCAAACACTTTATTTTCATAATGAGGAGAAAGAAGGAATTTTCAGTGTCGGAAAAGTTACTGGATAATGTTGATTAATTTAGACTTCAGGGATTAAGTTTGCAATTAAATTATTACAATTTTTTTAACTTAATGAAGGTCAAAACTTTGTCACATTTGACCCAAATGACGTCATTCATTACTATTTAGTCTCTTTACTTGTAAATACTGTTTGTTTGTCTGTGTCCAATAAACGCAAAAACAGCTGAACCACTGGGTCCAAATTTGTAGTGGCAACTCACCCATTCATGGCTGGTCGAAATTTCATTATTTTTGAAATACACAAATTTATTCAGAAAAATCCGCGAAAATTTTTAAACACGATTGAATATGGCAACTTTCAGAGCATCATTTCACATTTAAAATTGTTAACAGAAAGGGTGCGAAGCACCTTAAATTCCTAATTTCTTTAAAATTTCATTGATATCTAATAAATTGCACTTCATAATCTATTTGGAGAACATGAAAGGAAATGAGTCTTTGCCACAAACACTGATTTTCCTATCCCTATATCTTTTTAACTTGATGGCGAAAAGCTTTAATATTTCAAACTAAGGTTATTTGACCTAAGAGATTCATAGTTTGAAATATCTAAGGCTTACAACATTAGGTTGCAAAGATTTAGAGATTTGAAAATCAAAGTTTGTGGCAAAGACTTTTGCATTCGGAATTTTTTATTTAGGTTCGACATAAGTTTAAATGACAAATTTTGAATCAAAAGTTTAAACTGTTCTTTCAATTAAGTATCTTATCAACTCAATCCAGTTCTTTCTAATTCAAGAAATGAATAACAAGACACTACAAAGTATACAGAAGAAGAAGAAGGTAACATTTATCCGACATCACTGGCAACCTTTGTGACCTGGTAGCTCACACTAAACTAAGCTATTGGGGTTAAATAGTACTGTAAAAAGTCTGGCCGCGTCATCAAAGTTGAAAACGAGCGGGCATAGGAGGGTTGGGCCGGTACTTGCAGTGTGTAACTAAGGTTGGTACAAGGGGCATAGGAGGGTTGGGCCGGTACTTGCAGTGCGTAACTAAGGTTGGTACAAGGGGCATAGGAGGGTTGGGCCGGTACTTGCAGTGCGTAACTAAGATTGGTACAAGGGGCATACTGGTTCGAATTCAAATTGAGCCTAGTCCACCGTGAGGTCCTATATAGTTTCAATTTTGCGTACAATCAATGGAAAAATCAATTTTATCCGCGGGTAAAAAAAATAAAAGGTTTGTCCTTCTAAATAGCTCTTTAATTAGAGAAAATTATTGAAAACGTATAAAAATTTCAATCTTGCATTCAATATACTTTAGTTTGACATAAACAGCATTGTCTCACAAAATTGAGAAAGCATGAACTTGAGTATAATACTAAACAGGAATAGAATTCAAATTTACTTTAGTTTGACGTGAACAGCATTGTCTCACAAAATTGAGAAAGCATGAACTTGAGTATAATACTAAACAGGAATAGAATTCAAATTTACTTTAGTTTGACGTGAACAGCATTGTCTCACAAAATTGAGAAAGCATGAACTTGAGTATATACTATACAGGAATAGAATTCAAATTTATTTTAGTTTGACGTGAACAGCATTGACTCGCAAAATTAAGAAAGTATGAACTTGAGTATATACTATACAGGAATATAATTCAAATTTACTTTAGTTTGACGTGAACATGAACAGCATTGACTCGCAAAATTAAGAAAGTATGAACTTGAGTATATACTATACAGGAATAGAATTCAAATTTACTTTAGTTTGACGTGAACATAAACAGCATTGACTCGCAAAATTAAGAAAGTATGAACTTGAGTATATACTATACAGGAATAAAACTAAAATTTATTTTAGTTTGACGTGAACAGCATTGACTCGCAAAATTAAGAAAGTATGAACTTGAGTGAACTTGAGTATATACTAAACAGGAATAGAATTCAAATTTATTTTAGTTTGACGTGAACAGCATTGACTTGCAAAAATTAAGAAAGTATGAAATTGAGTATATACTATACAGGAATAGAATTAAAAGGAATTGAGATTTTGCCACTAACTCTGATTTTCAAATTTCAATATCGTTACAACCCAATGTCGTAGACCTTTAAGGCTATGAAGGCTATTAGATCAAATATTGTAAGTTTGAAATATCAAAGGTTTACATCATAAGGTTGCAAAGATATAGGTTTTACAAAAACTGAATTGGTGGCAATGATTCAATTCCTTTACTTTAGTTTGACGTGAAGAGCATTGACTTGCAAAATTGAGAAAGTATGAACTTGAGTGTATACTTTACAGGAATAGAATTCAAATTGAAAATTTATTCATTTTTATTTTCTACCCAAGGTTTAATCTTATTTTCTCCCATAAATAATTTACAAACAAACATTTATCGTTGTTGTGAATTTGAATTTTTTATGTTTATCTTAAAACTGTTTTGTGGCGTGTCCTATTAAAAACTATACCATTTAAACCCTTCTCCTATCAAAAATATATGTCATTTATTATTTTTTTCAGACAAAGCGTGATCAAGATGTATTATTCTGAATAGACATGCTATTCTTGAAACTACGCGTACAGTCTCTTAAACTAGATTTTGCTGCAATTTAATTTAATTTCCATATTCATGGTTTAGAATTTAAGAACACGACTGGGAATAAAAGATCCAATTACTCATATACTGAAGAAAATATAAGTTCAAATACAACCCTGATATTCTAATTCAGTATTTATTCAGATTCTTCCATTTCCATTCTTATATTACATTTCATTTCATTCATTTTATATTCTCATTCAGTATTTATACAAGTTGAACCATTTCCATTCTTATCTTACAGTTCATATATTTTATATTCTCATTCGGTATTTATACAAGTTGAACCATTTCCATTCTTATATTACATTTCATTTATTTTATATTCTCATTCAGTATTTATACAAGTTAAACCATTTCCATTCTTATCTTACATTTCATTCAACATCTCCTCTATTTGTCTCCTCTCCTTGTTTCTCTCCTTCAGGACCTAGCACATCTCTTCCAAGTTAATCTTCTCCAGGACCATCATCAAAGGTTAGATGAGGTTCATCTCCTCCAGGACCAACTCCAATGCTCTGATAAGTCTGGATTATTATTAAAGTATTATTAGAAAAAATATCAATCAATCTATCAATTATTTCATATTTTACCTTCTCTTTCTCTTTACATTCCCCATTCCATTCCCTGATAGGAGGAACCTCCCGGGGATGACAAAGTAGTTGTTTATGATATTGTTGGGTATTGTTTTATGAAGATCTTTGCAAGATTGTACTGAAGCATTCCATTCGTCCCTACCAATCGAGCATGATTTGACACGTTTGTGATGCTTGGTAAAGTAGTATAGTAGGATGGCATTGATGTCACCTACTATTTCCTTACAGAGGTAGACGGTCAAGGATGCATTGCCAGGTTCAGACAGTCTAATATGGATCATGTCCAGGGTCCTCGCCATCTCAAGGTAACTTTGTTTAAAGGGTTCATATTTTTTTTCTTGCAACTTGTTGGTTTTGCAGTAGTCAGTGCACTGAAAAAAATTTAAAATTTAAGAGTGATTGGCCTTTCTGTTTTTTCTTTCTATCAATTAGTTCAAAGAAGACTAACCTAACCTTGCGAAAATCTGTACAGAAATTGAAACATTTGGGGAGGGAGTGGTGTTAGGGGGTGGACGAGGGAGTGGGTGGGTGAGAAAGTAGGGGTTGGGGAGGGAGAAGTGGAATTGGGGGTGGGGGAGGGAGATAAAATTGAATTAAAGATTTGCTGCCAGTCATGGGGTGCAAAAATTTTGGAGGCTTGAATTGAGATAACTTTTTTTTTGAAGATAGAGGCCTAATATTTATTTTCTTCCCTCTATTTTTATGTATTGCCTACAACTTTGAATGATTATGACAAATTGATTGGAGGGCGTCTTCATGCTTTAAAACTCCATTCAAAATTTAGCTGTCAATATCAACATTTTAAATGGAGTTTAAAGCATGAAGACGCCCTCCAATCCACTTGTCCTACTAATTCAAATTTCTAGACAATATATGAATATAGGAAATTAAAATTAGGATTCTATCTTCAAAAACGTAGTCACAAGAGCAAAAGACCGCACTTTATAATATATTGTATATAATATATATATAACATAACCAAAAATGGAGTTTTAAAGCATGAAGATGACCTCCAATCAACTTGTCATACTTTTTCAAAATGGTAGGCAATATTTGGCGTAGTTGTAGGAAATTAAAATTAGGCTTCTATTTTAAAAAATGTAGCCGCAAGAGCAAAAGACCGGAGTTTTCGTTTATATCATATATATAAATATATATATTATACTAATTATTATAAACTCCGGTCTTTTTGGNTTCCGTGGTGATGTCCCAGTTGACTCCCAGTTCCGTGGTGATGTCCCAGTTGACTCCCAGTTCCGTGGTGATGTCCCAGTTGACTCCCAGTTCCGTGGTGATGTCCCAGTTGACTCCCAGTTCCGTGGTGATGTCCCAGTTGACTCCCAGTTCCGTGGTGATGTCCCAGTTGACTCCCAGTTCCGTGGTGATGTCCCAGTTGACTCCCAGTTCCGTGGTGATGTCCCAGTTGACTCCCAGTTCCGTGGTGATGTCCCAGTTGACTCCCAGTTCCGTGGTGATGTCCCAGTTGACTCCCAGTTCCGTGGTGATGTCCCAGTTGACTCCCAGTTCCGTGGTGATGTCCCAGTTGACTCCCAGTTCCGTGGTGATGTCCCAGTTGACTCCCAGTTCCGTGGTGATGTCCCAGTTGACTCCCAGTTCCGTGGTGATGTCCCAGTTGACTCCCAGTTCCGTGGTGATGTCCCAGTTGACTCCCAGTTCCGTGGTGATGTCCCAGTTGACTCCCAGTTCCGTGGTGATGTCCCAGTTGACTCCCAGTTCCGTGGTGATGTCCCAGTTGACTCCCAGTTCCGTGGTGATGTCCCAGTTGACTCCCAGTTCCGTGGTGATGTCCCAGTTGACTCCCAGTTCCGTGGTGATGTCCCAGTTGACTCCCAGTTCCGTGGTGATGTCCCAGTTGACTCCCAGTTCCGTGGTGATGTCCCAGTTGACTCCCAGTTCCGTGGTGATGTCCCAGTTGACTCCCAGTTCCGTGGTGATGTCCCAGATGTCTCCCTATCCTTACTCTAACCCTGATTCTGAGCCTGAAGCTGAACCTGAAACTGAACCTCATCCTCACCCTGAACCTGAACCTAATCCTGTGCCTGTTCCCGAGCCTAAACGAAGACCTACAAAGGCGGAACTAGATTTAAGTTTGAGGGAAATTATGAAAATGATGCAAATGTAATGCTATATCTTGTAATGTAATGTAAACCTGTTTAAATCTTTAAATGGATTAGCATAAAATAAATATTTAGATCTTAAAAGGTTAATTTATCAGAAAATTGAGAAACCTTACTCGTTTGAAACAATATATATATTGAGGACATTTAAAAATACAATATATTCGGAGTGGGGTTGCAGAGTGGGGTATCATGGGGGTAGGGGTAGGCACACAGGGGTATTTTAGGGGGCCAGGGGGATTTTTGTCGTCAAAATATTTCTCTTAAAATGCATTTTTCTTGTGTTTCATGGTGAAAATGGACAAAATGAATATATTCTAATAAAATTTTCGTTTACAAACATTTTTTCAATTTTAGCTTGCAATAATTTATGATGTTTTCAGTTTATATTTATTTTTCTCGTTCATATATTTATCCCTGAATGGATCCTGTAAACCCGCAATATATTTAGATGTCGTCTTTGTTACAGCAAGCTATTTTGGAAGAAAAAAATATATTTTATAGCAAGTGCCAGAAAGAACAGCTGCTTCTGGATAATCTAGATAATCTAGATATAAAATTGATTCTAACAACCATATAAGAAAAATTTAGGGGCGTCGGTAGCACGCCAAAAACTTGATTTAGTTAAAGTAGCGTGTGGTTGAAAAATCGTATTTTAAGAATTTTCAATTTAGTAACGGGTTTTCGGTCGAAATTCTTGACTAAACCATAACATTTACACAACTTTGAGACTTGTCTCAACATTTTTTTTTAAGTAGCCAAGCCTTATTGGAAATAAATAAGAGGTTGGGTGACCCCCCCCCCCTCCCCGGACCCCCACCCTAATACTTAACTGTGGGGGGCCCTATAACCATAAAAATACGTAATTCAGATTTAGATAAAAAAAATTTTGTTTTGTGTAAACCAACGAGATTATAGAATATAGAGTGATGATGTACGCTAATCCTTTACTTATTGTACAGGTCATGTGCTCCACTTTAAAAGTTCAATCTGTCTGTTACAATACAGGGGTGATTTCTACAAATATGAAGTGGAGAATTTATTCTCCATTTAACTATTAAAATCCACTACACCATTCTCGTGTGCAGGATTACATTTTCCATAGGAGGACGTACTATTACAGTCTTTTATAGAGCAATATTTCATCGTTAATAAACGGTTCTGAGTAAAATTCAAGATACAAAACCTCCCCATACACTGTACTCCGAAAGCATACTACATATTTGATGTTTGTACTGTATGATTATAATTAATGTTTGTACTGATTGATAAAAATTTCAATTAATCTAATTAATCTATAATAATCCATCTTTTTAATTTACAATGTGTAAGCCATGAGCTAAGAACATTTCCATGGTTCTAACATGTTTTCCAATTTCAAATTTGAGGCAAATTGGTCAAGTGGTTAATTGTTTATGATTGGACATACAAACAAACAGACAAAAAGAGTTACTACTTTATATTTTTTTTACAATTTATTTTTAAGTTAAAATTCTTTTAAATAAAATTTTAAAAAGAGCAGTGAATATTGTTGTATATTCTTTTTAGCTGAGCAGTTTTCAGTTTTTTTGCTGATCCAGGAATGTCTGACTCAAAAACTGATTGAAGGTCAGCTTCAAATACATATTTCTCAATATTCTTACAGGTTGGAAAAATAAAAGCCACTGCGGGGTTTTAAAATTTTAAGGATCCATTGTCTGAATTCCGCATTAATAATGACAATTGATTAGGCAAGGATTGAAGATTTTCGACAAAAAATTCTTGATTCTTGCAAGTTCATCTCAGAAAGTGCTTCAGAATACAGCCCTGTCTGCAGCCATCTTTTCCTCACAGGGGGCAGAGTATAAACTGGTATCATAGTGCATGGTGCACAACCTATCAGGATTCTAATTTCTGTTTCCATTTTCCTTGTTTCTGGCAACCCTCCTTCTCTGCATTATTGTTCTATTTTTTTCCAAATAGGGTGTACTGCCATGTTTTATTCCACACAGGGTTCTGTTCAGCTGCAAGAAACTGGAGAGAGTTGTATAAGAACCTGACTGTTCTGAGCTACCTTGATGTTTAACCAGGCTTGTTATTAAGGAGTATATTTATAGCTGCCAGTAGAAAAATCTGGATTCAGTCAGGTAAAAAACCTCCATTCTCCAGGTTAATACAGTGTTTAACGATTAATGCAGGCCTTTAATGTTTCTTGAAGATCCGTTTTTTTCTGTATACTGTATACCCCCTATACACCCCTGGCTAAAGTTTCTCTAGTTTGCCATTTTATCTCTCTCACCCTGTATCTCTGAATACTTTAAGAAGCGCCTAGCAAGACCTAGTTGTTGCTTTGAAAGCTGAGTGTACACTGACCACTTTATATCTGAACTAGCTTGGAAACCCAGTTTTGCTTGGGAGCTGAACTTTTCTGTAAAATTCAACTATTTAAGGCAAATCGGTCAAAGTGGTTAAAAGGATATGCTCGGGCATACAAACAAACAAATAGAGATTACTTCTTTCTGAATATATAGATTTACAGGTGTTATATGTATGCGCAAAAATCATATTTAGTTCACCTTTATTTAGACAATATATGAATAATAAATTATGATATATTTTGAATTTGGTGAAATTTTATTTTCCTCGACGGAGATCAAGATTTAAATATAAAGTGAATTTGACTTGGAAGTTGGAACCTATTCATGGTTAATAATATTTTAAACCATAAACTAGGGTTCTATTGTGTAAAAATATAGTGTTAATCCTATTTCGATTGTGCTCTTGTCTATTATAAATGGGGGGGGGGTGTATTTTCGAACCCTCACATATATGATTTTGCCCTCCGAGCCCACAAACTTTAATGGTTAGGGATTTTTTAACAAAGTTAAAAAATATTTTTGATTGATATTTTTCACCTTTGGATCCATGGATTCGCAGATTTACATGTTTTTGCAATCATAAGCAATGGTTTGGAAGAGTTTAATTCTCTAAGAAAAACTCCATACCATCGATTTTTAAACTTTTTTGATCCTTCTAAAATTTATCGACTATATTGTTAACATTATTTTTAGATTTCAAATCTAATCTCTTTGCATTTGAGAAGCAATGTTTTGTAAACTTTTTTTGTAGAATTTTTTGTAAACAATCTTTGTGAACATTTGTTGTAGACATTTTGTAAAGATATTTTAGACATTTTGGACACATTTTTAAGACTTTTTCTAGACAATCTCTATTTATGGAGGTTTTGAACTTTTTCCTCCTCAAATTACTTTTTTTATTTTTTTTTTTCAAAAATAAATAAATAATTACCTACATAAATTTTCTGAAGAAAAACAAAATTACAAATTCTTTAACAGGCTAACGA